AATAACAAACAAATAAACAATGAAAGAAAGCTGTGTGTATATGTCTTATATTTGAGCAGGTATATGGAGCCAGGAATAGGGTGTATCACTTCCTACGGGCTTTGGAGTCTCTGAGGCTGGTTCCTAGTCCAAATCTGCAGCAGTTGGTAGGCTCTAGGCTTGAGTCCTGACACTGATACAGAGAACGAGGGCTGGTCTTTGGACTGAGACTGAGTAGATACCCAGCAGGTGCCCAGCCTGGACTCTTGCTTTGCTGCTTCAAGAACTCTCCAGAGGCTAATAAGCCCCCTCCGCCTTCAGGCATTTCAAATTCCAAACCAAATAAACCTTGTAACAATTGCCTCTGGCATCCACATAATTATTAGAGAACATCCCTGCACTGGGGACCTATCATGCGCCAGGTACTTTGGTACACACTTGGCTTGCAATATCTCAGCTTTCAGAGGGGACTTGGAGAGGTGTAGTGACTTGCGTAAGATCACACTGCCAGCGAGTGGCCAACCATTCAGCAAAACCAGGAATCTTATTAGAGATGGACCATCTATTACACACTGACCCATCCCTTGTCTTAGATCCAGGAGGAAACAGAAGCACAGAGAGGGCAAATCCTCTGCCTAGCTCACACAGACATTTAGCTTCAGGGCTGAGACTTGAAGCCAGGTTCCAAGGCTTCCTGGCCATGTAGGAGAGTGAACTCGAGGGCTCTGGTTTACTCCTATTATCCTCTGCCCTCCCCACCCCCAGCCTCTCGAATGACACTTGACATTATCCATCACTCCCTCCCCCTGGGAACGCCTTCCTCCTCCAGTTTCCATGGCAGCGTATTTCCCCATCCTCCTCCTGCTTCTCCAGCAGCTTTTCACTCTCCACGGTAGCTCCTGAGCCTAGGAAGAGTGGGGATCCCCATGCCAGGACACCAGTCTCTTCTCTCTTTTCATTGCTACCCCTGAAATCCCGTCCACTTTCCCTGAGGAGTCTTTAGCTCTGACTTTGCAGTTCAGCTCCAGTTACTTATTGTGCTAAGAGCATCCTTATGTGATGGACCCTATGGTTACACCTGTACATGCATTATCTCATTAAATCCTCACAACCACCACTGGAAGGAAGCCCACTCTACAGATGAGGAAACTAAGGCTCATAAAGGGAAAGCCAAGACCTGATTCCAGCCTTATCCACTACTTTTATTACATCAAGAAGATATGTGAGGGGCTGGGATGTGGCTCAAGCGGTAGCGCAGTCGCCTGGCATGCGTGCGGCGCGGGTTCGATCCTCAGCACCACATACAAAACAAAGATGTTGTGTCCGCCAATAACTAAAAAATAAATATTAAAATTCTCTGTCTCTCTCTCTCCCTCTTTCACTCTCTCTTTTAGAAAAAAAAAAAAAGAAGATACGTGAAACTGTAGGACGTTTTTATTTATTGGTACTGGGGGTTGAACCCAGGGGTGCTTTAACACTGAGGTATACCCCCAGGCCCCCCTTTTTTATTTTAATTTTGAGACAAGGTCCTGCTAAGTTGCAGAGGCTGGTATCAAAATTGCAAATCCGCCTCCCTCAGCCTCCCAAGTCACTGGGATTACAGGCATGTGCCTCCACGTCCAGCCAACTATAGGACATTTTTAAACCAGGAGCAAAAGCTTCCCTTCCATCTCTTAGAGAATGAGCAATGAAAAATTAGGGGGGTAGAGACCTACTCTGCAGTTTTCAGAACCCTGTGATGATCTAGAATTACACTGTCAATTTGGAGCTTTAGAATGTATCACACACAGTACATTTTGAAATGTGAAGATTTAGAGAGCTTCGGGAGGAACAAAAGTTCATGAAAATTTGCCCTTTTCCTTCAGATTTTCCCATTTTGTTTCAAGTCTTCAAAAACCTCATCCCAGGGTTCCAGATCCTGATGTCTTTCTACTTTAATGATGCCTGGAATTAACTGCAAACTTGGACCCCGGAACTTTTCTTGGAATTCCACTGACCTGAGTTCTGCAGCTGTTAACAGGCTCCGTGACTCAGGAGCAAGTGGCTTGATCTCTCTGAGCCTTGGCTTTCTTATCTAAAAGAGGAATAATACTACTTCCCCGAATGGGCAGTCACGAGGACCAGCTGGGATAAAGTGCATAAAGCATTTGGCAGTGAGCCTGGAATGTGGACGTGCTCAGTCAAGTCCTGTGCTCCTGCTGCACCAAACTTCTTGGGTTTGCCAAGCACTTGAACATCCCTGTGCTTTCCCCCCCTCCCCCTTTGGTACCAGGGATTGAACTCAGGGGCACTCAACCATTGAGCCACATCCCAGCCCTATTTTGTATTTTATTTAGAGACAGGGTCTCACTGAGTTGCTTAGTGCCTCACTTTTGCTGAGGCTGGCTTTGAACTCGTGATCCTCCTGCCTCAGCCTCCTGAGCTGCTGGGATTACAGGTGTGCGCCACCATGCCTGGCCCCGTGCTTTTGCACTCACTGTTCCCTCTTGGTGACCAGCTCCTACTCATCCTTTAGGGTCCCTTGACACCTTCCCAGCTCTTATAGAATTGTTTCAAACAAGTGTTTTTAGTAAAAAGCTAAAAAAGACACTTCCTGCAATGCCATCCCTGGTGATCCCTGTCGCTGCACTTATCAGTGACATGCAACTACCTGTTTATGCTTTGTCTCCCAGCATTGGCTCTGAGATTTCTGAGGGCAGGGTCAAGCCCGACATTTCCCTGTCCCAGTGCCCAGAGCGCACAGCCTAGCAGGAAGTAGATTTCAACACAAGTGTACATTTCCTTAAATGCACACAGTCTGGGTCAGCCCCTGCTGACCTAGAACAATTTTATATCAAAGAGATAAAAAGCAACCAGATCTGTTATACCCACAGGGGGTGGCAGTGAGTGGGCTTGAAGCAGCTTTGAGACAGGCCTCTTCTGAGTGGGGGCAGAGAAGACACAGTCCTTGCAAGATGAATAAACAGCCCTGACTTCTCTGTCATCTATTTCAGGAGTCTTCCCTAATTCCTGAATTGTCCCCTTTCTCTGCCATTTCCCCAAAGTAGGAGATTCCCAAATGATTAGGAGTATCCAGGTGCCCCTGCCTTGCTGATCACCCCCCATTCACACATCCCCTACACATTCAAATGGAAGTCTCTATGGTCACAGGGTCCATTCAGTTGGTGAGGTGAGCTAGGAGGCTTGAGACCCCAGGTCATGGTAGCTTAGCAGGCTGATCTGAGCGGTGACCACTGCCTTGCATCCTAGGTCCCAGGGGATCCATTTCCTAGAGGAAGAATACCCCCAGGTCCAAGGCTTCTTCACCCTAAGAAGGGCTGCGCTTTGCCTACCGAAGGGACTCTTACCCCTGTGCACAAAGTGCACGAAGCCCTTCTTGGTGCCCAACCCTCTCCCCTGAATGCTACTTCAGTGCCTGTTGGAGTGACAGCCTCCAGCCTTTGTTCCAAAGAAATGGCTGTCAAAGGGGAAAGAGGTATATTGTTTCTTTCTCTTTTCTTTTTTTGTTTGAGACAAAGACGTCAATTTCTTTCCATCTGTCCCAAAAAAGGAAGAAAATTAAATTTGTTTTTACAAGGATGTCACCAGGCTGCTTCAATAGGGAGTCAGGGGTGCATTGCTGAGGCAGTCAGACAGTGTCTAGGGGGGCGGGGGAAGAGGAGGCCCAGAGGATGGGTAGCAAAGACAGACCCTGCCTGGGGAGAAGGGAAGCAAAGATCTGGGATATCTGAACAGATTTCTATGACCATCTTTAGGTGAACCCTGCCCTCAGTAGCTTGAAGGGGGAGCTGGATGAATTGAATTAGGTCAGGGACCTTGGATCCTTGGGGCAAAAGGAGAGAGGATCATGGCCAACACTAGCATTGCAGTTACGAAAGTCACTTTCCCCCAGTTCCTTCCAAGTCAGGCCCCATGTGGGCAGTTCCAGTTCACTAGTCACTGGCACCAGATACCTGGGTCACAGCCAGATGCTGGGAGGAGGGGAAAGAATATTGGGGTGCTTATCAGAATTCCAAACATCTGCACTTGTTCTTCTGGCAACCCCCAGCCCAGTTCCAGTGGCACTCACCATGCATGGAGCTATCATTAGATGGCCCTCTGTTTTCCAGTACTGGACCACAAATGCCAGGACCCTAGGGTCCCTGTAAAACATCCAACTTCAACCCTGAGGGCCTAATTTCACAGCAGAAGCCTTACCTCTCTGTCTCAGCCCACCCACCGCTGCCCCTTGGCACAGAGGTCCACTGAAGCTGGGTGCAGCACCCAGCCCTTCTTGCTTTTTCCTGAGCCTTAGGGCTCTGGGGACCCTGTCCCAACCAAGGCCCCGTTTCAGCCGTCTTTGATGGAACAGCTAGCCCGGCTCCACCATCCTGTCCCAAAACCCCACTGGAAGTTGGTATTGTGGCCACTACTTCAATTGTGGAGCTGGATCTCTGAACCACTCCATGGAAATTAATGTCCAAGAGAGAAAGTACATTATTTCTCTCTTTCCTTCTGTTTGTCTTGTATTTTCTTTATCTATAAAGAAGTTGAAGGAAGACCTCAAGGAGTCCTGTCCCTTGCTAGAACAGGGGGGGACTCCACCCAAAATTTGAGGTTCCAGATAGTGCATACAGGCCCTCCTATCTCGTCGTAACTGATTCTCCAGCAGCATCCTGCCTCACTCTGCGGTACCCCCATTTCCTCCTGGGAGAGGATCCTCTACACAATGCACATGCCCAATCTTGCAGCTCAAGCCACTGTCCCCACCACTGGATCCTGGGCCCAGAATCCTAAGGTCTCAGGGCGGAACCCAATAGAAGTTCCACTCGGGGTGAGATAGAATTCGAGGTTGTCCCCAACTCTCCACCCCGCTGGAGAGGCCTTATTAAGGGGCTCGGTTCTAGAGCTGCAGGCCCCGCCCTCCACTCCCAATCTGGAGCCTTCCACCTTGCACCCAGCGCCGAGGCCCACCCGACTGCACAGGCTCCACCTCGCGGCCGCTGGTGGCCTCAAGTCCCATGCTCTTCTCCAAAACAGAATCCGACCTTCTACTGCCCCATTTCGAATAGTGGTCCCCGCTTCCCAGGGGGCTCAGTGTGACCGCCAGGTCATTTCGGAGGAGCGCGCGGGGGCCAGCCAGGACTGGTCAGGCGGCAGCGCCACCACCCGGGCCGACCGATTGGGTGCAAGCGGTGACACGCTCGCGGGCGGTGGCTTCCCGGGCGCGGCTGAAGCTGGCTGGCTCCGGGCGGCAGCAGGGCGTGCGGCAGAGTTGGCGGAAGCAGCGCTTGAAGTTCTCGTCGAGGAAGGCGTAGAGCACGGGGTTGAGGCTGCTGTTGGCGTAGCCCAGCGCGATGCACAGGTGCAGAGCGGCTACCACTAGTGGGTCGCGCCGGTCGATGTCCACCAGCGTCCAGACGATGACGAAGATATGGATGGGCGCCCAGCACACCACGAAGGCGCCCACCACCACCAGCACCATACGCGTGATGCGCCGCAGGCTGCGGTCCTTCTCCTTGGAGCCTGACAGGAGGCGCACGCTGCGCAAGCGCAGCAGCATGAGGCCATAGCACACTGTGATGATGAGGATGGGCACCACGAAGGCGAAGAGGAACACGCAGATCTTGGTCACCGTGTCCCAGTACCAGCTGGGGCTAGGAAACTGGAGCATGCATACCACCGCCCCATCTGCGTTGGGAAAACAAGGGGAGACAAAGAGGCAGTGAGGGGTCTGTGCACCTCAGGGGCTCTGCCTGCTGGTCACACCTTCTGGGCTTGGTCAAGCGCCACCACCTCCTCCTGGTTGCTTAAGGTGACTCTTCTGCCAGTCACTGTGACAAAGCCCACACATTCCCAAACTTGCTCCAGTGGTTCTGTAATGCTAAGATTGACTAACAAAGCATGAGTTAGGAGCAGGACTCAAACCCTGCCCCGTGAGATGTGCCTGTGATCCCAATAACTTGGGAGGCTGAGACAGGAGGATCCGTGAGTTCAAAACCAGTCTCAGCAATTTAGCGAGGCCCAAATCAACTCAGTGAGACCCTGTGTCTAAGCAAAATACAAAATAGGGCTGGGGATGTGGCTCAGTGGTAGAGTGCCCCTAAGTTCAATCCCTGGTACCTCCCCCTAAAAAACAAAAAAAGCGTAGGAATCAGGCCCTGACTGTGTACACTGTGACCCTGGACAAATTACTTACCCTCTTCATGCTTCTGCAGAGTGTAACTTGCAGGATTATCATGAGGATTAAATAGGCTAAGGGATTTAAGACATTTAGCACAGTGGAGTTCAAGTGCTTAAACAGAGCACAGAGACCAGGGGTAAATACATACAGGAGCCCACAGACTGAGGCTAGAACCAGCTTCCCTGGAGGGAGACAGATCCCAGCTAATGTCAAGAAGAACTTCCTAAGCTGGGGATGTAGTTCAGCGGTAGAGTGCTCGCCTACCATGTGGAACCCTGGGTTCCGTCCCCAGTACCACAAAAAGATTTTCTGACAGCCATACCTGCCCAAAGATAGGAAATGGACCAAGGAGGGAAGGAGCTCCCTGTTCCTGGAGTGTGGGCCTGGGCTTCATTAGCATTTTGGATTCTGATGCAGGCTTGAGGCTGGTCCAGGAGACTCCCAAGATCTCTTGGAGCCACACAACAGACTTGAAGACTGGGAGTTATAAGAAAGGGACTGGGGACCCACAAAGTGGTTTGCAGGACATCAGGCTGCCTGGACTCCTAGATGACTGAGTCCAACCTTCATTGTTCAGATAGCAGAACCAAACTCAGAAGGGAACAGCACTTCTTTAAAACCAAACAGGAAGTAGCACGTAGAACCCACAAGTGCTAATGGCACACACAGTGTGTGTGTGTGTGTGTGTGTGCGCGCACGCGTGTGTGCAGTAAGCCCCCAGCAGTGCAGTAGTTAATGGCTTATGAACTAAAGGCTAACAGTGAGGAATGGGGCCCTGCGGCTCAAACCAATCACTAAGAGGCTATGTGTGCACCAGAGTGTCTGTCTTATGTCTGTCAAGATTCCCATAAAGCCTGCTCCCCTTTCACCCACAGCACCAAGCCTTTGCAAACCTCTACCCAAAGTGCCAAGAGGAGCAACCGATCTGAGTGCAGGAACTTTGGGTTGTGGCCCAAGTTCCACCCAATGAGCCCTACGTAAACCATCTGACCTCTCCAAGTTGTCTTCCGGTTGAATGGAGGTAGGAGTCCCTGCCTTGTCTAAAGGCTTCATTCATCATTTAACACCTGCTATTTACTGGGCCTTGGCAATAAGCCAGTCCTTCGCTTAAGTGTTTTGTTTTTTTTTTTCATATTACCTCATTTAACCTTTCCACACTCCATGATAAATATGGCTCAGAGAGGTTAATTAGTTACTAATGTCTTTGGCACCCTTCAATACTACATTTCCCACTTCCTTATATCAAGGTGAGGTCATGTGACCATCTAGCTATCACCAGGAAGACATAGGCCATAGCACTGAAAAGTGGTTGTGCTTTCTCCCTGCTCCTTCTCCATGTTCATCTGCCAGCCTGAGGCCAGCAGAAGAAGATTCAGGAACCATCGGTGGGAGACTGGATCTCTGAGTAACTGTGCTCCTCTTACTCATGGTATATTGTGATGTGAATGAGAAATAAATTTCTGAAGTGTTAAGCCCCCAAGCTTTGCAGACTGTTTGTTATAGCAGCTAGAGTAACTAGTACAGTTAGTAACTAAAGTGATTCCCATTTTATTCTAAGGAAAAGCATCTATCATTCTCTTAGGGCGATTTTCTAGGCCTAACTTTGGTCATCTGGCCAATAGTTTTCAAAGTGGGATAGAAGAGAGTTTGGGATGGGACTGCAAATCTTGTAGCCTCCACTGCTCATTGGTCAATGACACCTCACCCCACTGGCCATCGTCCATTTCCATAGAGGTCAATCATCCACACAGTCCTGGCCAGCCACCTACGTGAACGTAGACCAGCCATCCACAATCCCAAATTCCATTTGGCACTGGGCATGGTGTCATGCCTGTAACCCCAGCAGCTTGGGAGGCTGAGGGAAGAGGATTGCGAGTTGGAAGCCAGCCTCAGCAAATTAACGAGGCCCTAGCAATTCAGGGAGTCCCTGTCTCAAAATAAAATATTTTTTTTAAAAAAAGGGCTGGGGATGTGGCTCAGTGGTTAAGCACCCTTGGGTTCAATGCCCAGTATCCCTGTCCCCCCAAAAAATCCAATTTGGCCAGCAATCTATTTGAGCCCTGAGCAGTCATTCATCTTCATAATATTCAACATCCACATTGCTCCTTGGTCAACAATTCCACTCCCACTGGTGGACCTTCCACCCTCCCACTGGCCAGCCATCACACCTCCTTTGCTCCACCAACCACTCCTCCACTGGTGAGCCACCTCCACTCTTCCTGGTAGCTGCCCTGGGGACCCATGGGGGCCCACATGCTGCCTCCTGCAGTCAGAGGCCTGTGCCACAGCTCCCTCCCTCACTCACCCCGGGGTCGGGTCACAGCCATGACCATGATGGGGACACCAACACCTGAGGCCAGGACCCAGATGCAGATGTTGATCAGCTTGGCCTTGGCAGGTGTGCGGAAGTCCAGGGCCTTGACCGGGTGGCAGACGGCGATGTAGCGGTCGACGCTCATCATGGTGAGAGTGAAGATGCTGGTGAACATGTTGTAGTAGTCAATAGAGAGCACAGCCTTGCAGAGCAGCTCCCCGAAGGGCCACGTCTCCATCAGGTACTTGGCACTCTGGAAGGGCAGTGTGCTGGTGGCCAGCGCATCAGCCAAGGCCAGGTTGAAGATGTAGATATTGGTGGCCGTCTTCAACTTAGTGTACCTTAGGAGGAAGCGCATGGATAATCATCCCATGTCACAGATTTCAGTTTTTATTAAACTCAGGGAGGTAAGTGACTTGCTCAAGGTCACACAAAAGGTCAGGGCAGGGGTGGGACTGGAACCCTGAATCATCTGGTTTGGTATCACTCCTTCACACTACAACAGATGCAAAAAAGGACTTCTTTGTTTTGGGTGACTTTGACAGAAGGTATTTTAGGAAAATTCTTATCTTCTGAGAGGTACTAAGCAATATGGTTACAGGAAACACTGGCTCCAGAGGAAAACATATCGGGGTTCTAATCCTGCCTCCACTGAGTAACTCTGGGCCAGCAGCTTGAACAGTCTGAGCCTCAGTGTCCTTAATTTAAAAAGAGGGTAATACTTATACCAGCCTCTTGGGATGGTTATATTTTTTTGTTTGTTTTATTTGCTGGGCAGTATTAGGGTTGTTGTAAAAATTTAATGGGATAATACAGAACTTAGCTCTGAGTCCTATGATTGCTAAACAGGTAGGACAAGGCTGGGGGTGTACAAGGCCCTGGGTTCAAGCCCCAGCATCATAAAAAAGGAAGAAAAATAAGAAATAACTCTGCCCCAACACGGTGGTGCATGCCTGTAATTCCAGTGGCTCCGGAGGCTGAGGCAGGAAGACTGTGAGTTCAAAGCCAGCCTCAGCAATGGCAAGGTGCTAAGCAACTCAGTGAGACCCTGTCTCTAAATAAAATTCAAAATAGGGGTGGGGATGTGGCTCAGTGGTCGAATGTCCCTGAGTTCAATCTCCAGACTCCCCCTGACCAAAAAATGAAAGAAATCACTCAGAGAGGATAATTGTTATTACTCTTTCTCTATGTAGAATGAAGCTGGGCTTGACCAGAATGACCTGACTCTCTAGCTCCCACAGCTGGCCTGTTTTGGGGAATATGATTGACCAACTCTAAGGAAGGGACTCTGCCTGGCAGACAGTCTGGGGCCCTAAACCTCTGGGCTGTCCTCCATGGTAGACCAAGGCTCCTGGCCCTGCCTTGGCCATGCATCTGGTCTCATCCCTGTATAGTAACCTCAGTGTCCCTCCTTACTTCCCCAGGGGTGTGGGGAAGGTGAGTTGCTGACAGTGTCACACACCCTGCCCAGGACACAAACCCAGATGTCAAACCAGAGGTGTGCAACCAAACTCTGCACCCAGCACTCCCAACATCCTCCGTGCTCTGTGTCTGCACTGCAGCTGGTTCCTTGTTTGGCCAACATTTATAGCCATGGTCCCTTCTGCACCAGGGCCTCGGCTGGACATTGGGTAGCCTGAAGGAGACTGTCCCAAAGCAGCATACATCACAGGAACACAGAGGCACTGAGGCAGGGGGAAAGGACTCCTTTCATGACCCTGGAACTCAGAGGAACCCAAAGAAGGTTTCACTGTGAGAGCAACGCTCATGAGTATACCAGAGCTGGGAGATCACCAGGCTCTCATATATCAGGGGGAAGCAATTTCATTAAGGTGGAGTCCAAGGGCTCCCTTCACAATTACCAGAAAAGCCTGAGAAATGCAGATTTATCAAACCCACCTCAGATCTGCTAGGTCTTAATAAGTTGCCCAGGCCGGCCTCAAACTTACAATCCTCCTGCCTCAGCCTCTTGAGTTGCTGAGATTACAGGCGAATGCCACCATGCCTGGCTGCTACATCCTAATCTATGGAACTGCGGCCTGAGATTCTCCATCTTTAACAAGCACACCCCAACCCCAAGGGATTCTTAAGAACTCTAACATTTGAGAATTATTGTGCATCCATAAGCCCATACTAGTGACAGGGAAACTGAAGGCCAAAGAGGTGGCGCAACTCACCTAAGGTCACACAGCAGCAGAGCGAACCTGAAAATTTGGCTGACCTCCCCATGCTCTTTCCCCACTCTACTGCAAGGGTAATGCCACAGTGTGTGTCTCTGTGCCCCTCTCTCTCCTTGAGAGTCCCTCATACTGCCCAGGATGAGGACACTCACTGCCGCACAAACTCCCATCTGCCAAAGCTGTTCCTTCAAGTGATGGTTGGGTTTTTTTAATTTATTTTTTGAGTTTAAAAAAGAAAAATGGACGTGCTCCTTGTCCTCCAGGGCCAGCATCTGTCCCATTCCCTCTCAAAATAGCTGCTATTTGCTCAGGGCTGGAGAAGTAAAAAGTTTTGCTGGGAGACAGCAGAATCGCAGCGTCGGGAAGTGGGTCTCCAGCAGGGTGCGGGTGGCAGCTGCGTGGGCGGCGGCGGGCCCACAGCTGACTCCTCTAATTTCTCGCTTTTACGCAGAACAATTCGAGGCTGTTCTTTGCCTGCTATTTTGATGTGAAGGATCCTTCCCTTCCCTGAGGGGGCTGCGATGCTGGGAAGCAGGAGCTGGAGTTGCTCTAACTGGTCCAGGGGGGCTGAGTGGCCCAGTGCGGCTGCCAGGGGGACCCCAGACCCCTCTTTCCCTGCTTCCCTCTCTGGCCCCCATAGCCCAGCCCTGCTCTGATGGCCTCTTTAGCCGATTTTCTTTCCAGCCCCAAGACAAATTACTCCATGCTCGGACCCTGGCTCCGAGCACCTGTCTCTCTCCTGGGGTCCTCTGCCACACCCCGGCCTCTTTGCTGTTCGTCATACACGCCAAGCCCGGCTCCCATCCCAGAACCTCTGGACTTGCTTTTTCCCGAATTTAGATGGACTTACTCTTTCACATAATTGAGGACCCTTCAAATGTCACCTCCTTAGAGACACCCTTCCTGATCACCCTATCTTAAGTATCCCCTTAAGTACTACCTCCCAGCTCTCTGCTTTTCTCTAGACCATGAACCACTGCCTCAAGTTATCACTGACATATGTATCTTCTCTTCTGTCCCTGGGGATCTCTTGCCCATATAAGCTCCCTGAAGGAAGGGGATTTGGTCCATTTTGTTTCTTGCTATCAACAGTGCAAACAGCAGGCTCCATTTGTGACAAAGATGTCTTTTTTTTTTGGTACTGGGGGTTGAATCCAGGAGTGCTTCACCATTGAGCTACATCCCCAGCCCTTTTTATTTTGAGACAGTGTCTCACTAAATGCTGCCAAATTTGGCCTCAAATTTCAATCCTCCTGCCTCAGCCTCCCGAGTGGCTGGGATTACAAGCATGCACCACTGTGCCTGGCTCACAGGAGATGGCTTCCTCCGTGGTTCATCAGCTCTCACCAAGACCAGCGCAGCAGCCTCCCAACTGCTCACCACCAGCAGTCTCTCTCCCCCAAGTTCATCACCCACACAGGGAAGGGTGCTCACTCTGAAAAGCAGATCTGCTCAGGACACGGATCCATACCTCCCCATTTTCACCTCAGCCTCCTCACCCATGATGCCTGCCTGTGTCCAGCCACATCTGTAGCTTTTCAAACATCCTGTCTAGCAGGCTTTCCCTCCCAAGAGACAGTCACTGAAATGATTTGTTAGAGATTTCCCAAACTATGTATATAAAAGTAGTTTTTTGTTAAAATTCTATTTCTGCCTATGTAATACAACTAGAGACTGCAAAAAGGCACAGAGTACTTTAATGAAAACGGTTCCCCCCTCTGTTCACCCCTCCTCTCTCCTCTGTCCTACTCCCCAGAGGTGACCACTGTTAATGTTTTTAACTATTTATTTGGGTGATTATTTCTATAATTCTAAAGTATAAGCTATTTCTTGATGTATGAATTTTAGAGAGTATTTAGAGTATTTACTGAAGTTTGTATTTGGTTAAGTAAGGTTATGCAGCAGTAACAAACAGTCCCCAAATCTCAGTGGCTTCACAGATTGAAGGTTTATTTCCTACATTGCAGAATCCACTCAACATTGTCAGGACCTCATATTCCAAGAGGCAATTCCAGGTTGCTTCACTTTTGTGACTCTGCCATCTTGACCCACAGTCTCCTTGATCATCCCAGAGGGAGCAGAGAGGCATCTAAGTATTCCTCTAACAGCAGCAAGGTACTTCCACCTTGGGCCCACCAGACAGAAGTAGTCCTATAGCCGTGCCCACCTGCGCGAGGCGGAGACATAAAGTTTTCTATGTGCAAGGAGAACCAAGTATCTGTGAACACAGGAATGTCCAGCACAGTTCCATATTATGGTAGACCCAACTCTTCCTCTTTCCATTCTCCAATATAGTTTTATCACAAATTTTAGCTAAATCAATATTCAGGATTAGTTAGCCTGGTAAGGTGGCACATGATTATAATCTCAGCTACTCAGGAGGCTGAGACAGGAGGTCCAGGAGTTGAGGCCAGCCTAGGCAACAAAGTACCCTATCTCAAAAAAATAATAATTCAGGGTTTACATTCTTTTCCTCTTCTTCTTCTTTTTTTCTAGTTGTTGATGGACCTTTATTTATTTATATGTGGTGCTGAGAATTGAAGCCAGTGCCTCACACATGCTAGATAAGCACTCTACCACAGAGCTACAATCTCAGCCCTCCTCTTTTTTCTTTATTATCTCTTCTTTGTTATTTATTTATTTATTTACTTACTTACTTACTTCTTACTGAGACAGAGTTTCACTATATTGCCCAGGATGGTCTTGAATTCATGGACTCTAACAATATTCTAACAATACTCCCGCCTCAGCCTCCTGAGTGTCTGGAAGCGTGCACCATCATGTCCGACTTTTTTCTCCATATTTTTAGGTTTTACATTCTTAAGATTCCATAGATATTATCCTTCCTTTTCTGAGCCAAAGAGTATACTATAATTACATTTGTTTTATAATGTAGACTTTTATTTTCCTGGAGTTAATAATTATCTCATTTTTCATTTGCTTAGTTCTGGGCACATATTTCCAAATCTCTTCCAACACACCAACAGATCCATAAAATGCCTTCTCTGTGCAGGGACACGATCCATACCTTTTGTTTTCCTAGTGATCTGTCTGCTGGGCCTTTCTTTATTCCTCCCCTTTCCTCCCGGGTCTGGTTGCTATCTACACAGCTGTACACCTCTTTCCCTCTGTTCGAGCACCTGTTTCCTAGTTTGAAAGTG